TTAGTAAAGTATCTCAAGAATGGAAGAAAAAATATCCCATGTACTCAGTACTATTATGAAACCAATTTACAATCACACACTTTCATTGAAGAATAGATCACAAATCTGGCCTAAGATGAAGTAGGGAGGAGTGAGGCTGGGAGGGGAGGGGCCAGGTCATATCGAGGGAAGGTGAATGGTGGGATCACACCTATGGTGCATAATTCAAGGGTACATGTCAGATCTATTAATATAGAGTATAAATATCTTAACACAATAATTAAGTAAATGAGATGAGGTATATATTAACCAGCATGATGTAAGTTTTCCTAATTCTATATTAAATCATCACATTGTACCCCATAAATACATTAATGCATACATGATGTGTTTATGATTTAATAAAAAATGAAATTATAATATCTGAAATAAAAAATTTCAACGGCTAAGGTTAACAGAAGAACAAAGATACCAAAGGAAAAAGTTGTAAATTGAAGACCAATCAATAGCAATTATCCTGGTATAAAGAAGTGAGAGAAAAAATAGAAAAAAAAAATGAGCCAAACCTGAAAGACCTGTGGAATGATTTTGAAAGTTCTAACCTATGTGTAATTTAAGTACCAAAAGAGGAAAGACAGATTGGATAGAAACATATTGTTGAAAGACATAAATTCACAGATTTGAGAAGTTCAACAAACATCTAAAAGGATAAATATGTATAGATCCACAGTTAGGCACAACATATTTAAACTGCTGAAAACCATAGAAAAAGAAAATTCTTGAAAGCAATAAAAGTAAAATGGCATATTATGTATAACTGGCTACAATTTGAATTTTACTGACTTTTTATTAGAAACTACAGAAGACATAAGATGGTGATGTGACATTTCTTAAGTGTTGAAATTATAAAAAACCTACCAACCAGAATCTTATATTCACTAAAAATATTCTTCATTGAGGGTGAAGGGAATTCATCCCAGAATATTCACTGAGTGGTTAACTGGAAATAAGGCAGCTTATTAAGATAAAGAATTCGTTTACCATGCACACAAGGAAAATCACAGAGTGATTACCCAATATCCCAGTGGGGTCCAGAAATTTATGTACCCTCATTTTAGGGTAGTAAGAGATGAGGGATATTGGTAAGTCTATTTAGAGCCAAAAAGTGATTACTAGAGAGGATAAATAGATACTTGGGAGAATGAATAGATAGGAGAAAACAGATTGACTTGTAAATGATTGTTTTTCCAAATTAAATTAACTTGAGAGACAGGTATTATATTTAAAATGATTTGGGCCAGGTCTGACTGCTAATCGTCTTTCCTATAATATATTGAGATAACTAGGAGGAGAAAAGAAGTTGATTAAAAAATACCAAGTAGTCAGATTATGGAGTAAAATTTCCTGACCTTCTTCACTTCAAATATGAAAATTGTATAATGGAACTATGTCATACTGAAAAAAAAAAAACCTACAGAAGAATCTGTTTCTAATAGAAGTGAACTAAAAGAAATGTTAAAAAGATGTTGATGAAACTAAAAGGAAATGATACAAGATAAAAACACAAGTCTTTAGGGAAGAAAAAAGAGCTTTCAAAAGACTAAATATGTTAGTAAATAAAATGGACTGTTTTTTCCCATTTTCTATAAAATATATATGACAGTTTATAATAAATATTATTGCATTGAATTATATTGTGAGGAATTATAATTTATCAAGGTATATGAAAAATGGCATAAAGAATGGGAGATATTAAATGGATATATAAGATGTGAGATTATTTTATACGATGTAGTATAATATTAACTATAGTTGACTCTGAGAACTTAGTGTGTACAATGCAAATAAGTTGAGCTAAAAAAAACCCACACACACATAGATATATTAAGATAGAATTCTAAAAAATATTTGAGTGATCCATAATAAGGTAAAAGGAAAAGCAAAGCAACAAAAACCAGAAGAGACCAAAAGAAAACAAATAATAAAATAGTGGAACTAAATGCAATTATGTCAGTAACTACAACAAATTTTAATAAAAAGGAAGAGATTGCCAAAAAGATTGAAAATATAAAACACAGTGCTTGCTTTGGCAGCACATATACTAAAATTGGAATGATACAGAGAAGATTAACATGGCCCCTGTGCAAGGATGACATGCAAATTCATGAAGCGTTCCATATTCAAAAAAAAAGAAAGAAAATAAAACACAACTAAATATTACCTAAAGGAAATGTACTTAAAATATAAAGACAGAGAAATGGAAAGAAAGTGGTTAAAGGGGGAGGCAGAGCAAGATGGCAGACCAGGAGGATCATTCAGCTGAGCTCTCTTAGTACTACTGGGGAAAAAGAGAGAACACACCAGGACCTTGCCCAGAGTCATAGCTCAGGGAGCACAGGAATTGGTGAGCTAGATACAGCATGTGATCCAGAGTGGTGGAATTCTGATGTTCTAGGCAAGTGATTGTGACCACTGGGATTAGTCAGACTCCCCACCTCACGGAGGTCTGGGATGAAAGTAAGCCTTTCAGGAGTTTTTGATTTGGGAGGCGGGTAAGCTATGCTTTGAGTGAAAAGCTTGGAAAAGTGGGCAGACTCAAACAGTGTAGAGCAACCAGATTTGAATTACCAGTTGGAGGAATTTGCCATCAGTTTTGTTGTTCTCAAGACAGCTAAACTAGGAAGGTCACAGTGGCCTAGTGGCTGCCAATGTGGAAAGGTTGTATGAAGGTCTTAGCAGGAGCCTAAAGATGGCCATTCTAACTCCACCTAACTAGATTAGAACTCCACTCATGGGTCAGGCCAAGGAACTCCCACACCCCATGAGAACTAGTGTCAGGGGGCACTGTGAGATTGCCACTATAGGATTCTCAAGAGCTTTAAGATACCAACTTGGCAGTATCTGAATGCTGAGAAAATAATCAAGTGATCACCAAAAGCAACTAAGTTAGGAATAAGAACCACAGAGGTTGCCAGCTGTTTTTCTCTATCTTCTAAAAAGAACCACAGCACCACCTGGTGTCCTGGTGACATATTGCAATATATATATTTCTATTTCTATTAATGTTGATCCCTTCTACTATATATAATTTTTTTAGTACTTTTTAAATTTATATTTATTTACTTTTTTATTCTACTTTATTCTACTTTTTCTCTTCTTCTATATAGTGCTGAGGTTGCTGTACTTTTTGGCTATTTGACTTGAGTTTTTTTATTTTGTTTTGTTGTGTTTTGTTCTTGCTCAGTTGTTTGGTTGGTTCTATTCTTAACTCCCATTTTTACTTTCATCAAGAGCCAGGACTTCTGTATTTTTGGTCATGAGGAAGAGTTTGGCTATGCTCAGGCTGGTAACAAGCTCCAGATTTTGAGAAACCCACCCAGTCCAGCTCCTTAAAATCATTGAATTATAGAAGTGGCCTTAACACCATGGCAATCAATACCATGTCTTCTATCAATCTCATTCTCCCTTCCTGTCTTCATTCTCTTCTGTTCAATTATTTTCTTTCATCCCCCTTCCCTTTTTTCTTTTACTTTGCTTTTACTTTTTCCTTCTTTTCCCTTCTTTCTTTCTTTTCCTCTTGTTTGCTTTTCCTCTCCCCACTTGAGCTTTACCCTTCTCTTGTTTTGGCCTAAGCTCTGAGACAAGATAATTTGAAGCAAAGGAGGAAGTAAGAAGGAAAAAGGAAAACAAGGAGGTGAACAAGTAGAAAGAACATAGGAGAAGGAACAAACAGAAAAATTCAGGCAACATGAAGAACCAAAACACAGCAATTCCTCCAATGGACCATGAGGCACCAACTGCTGAAGACTCCACCTATAAAGAATTAATGGATTGGAAGAAAGGTTATTTAAAATATGGATGATACAGATAATAAAAGTAATGGATGAGAAAATGGAAAGACAAAAACAAAAGTCAGATTAGTGATATGTGAAATGTAGAAAGAATATGGCAGAGCTTAAGGAAATGAGGGGCCAATCAGGGAATATAAAGATGTAGTATAAAGTATCAAAAATAGGTTAGACCATGGAGAAGAAAGAACCTCACAGCTAAAGGATAAAGTTTTAGACTTTACCCAGGTACTTATAGAAGCAGAAGAGAGAAAAAGAGAGGAGAGAGAGAAAGCAGAACAGGTGTTTAGAGAACTATGAGGCTCTGTGAATCATTCAAACACACAAATCATAGAGATCTTTGAAGAGGAAAAAGATTTTCACAAAGCAATGGAAGCCCTGCTGGAGACTATCAGAAATGGAAACTTCCCAAGCTTCACTAAAGACCCTGACACATTCCTTTCAGAGGGATATTGAACCCCAGATCATCTCAACTCAAAGCTTCTTCAAGACACATTGTAATGAACCTATCCAAAGTCAAAATGAAAGAGAAAATTCTGCAAGCAGCTAGGAATAAGTACCAAATGACCTACAGAGGCACAGCCATTAGGAGGACATCATGTTTTTCATGTGAACCTTTCAAGCCAGAAGAGAATAATCATCAACCTTCAACGTTCTTAAACAAAACAATTTTCAGAGCAGAATTCTATATCTGCTGAACTAAGCTTCAGGTTTGATGGAGAAATCAGATCTTTTGTGGATACACAAACACTGAAGAAATTTGCCATAATAAGATGAGCTCTACAGTAAATACATGGAACTACTCTCAACATTAAACATCACAATGAACCACCAGCAAAGTAAACAACCAGAAGCTAAAAGTTAAAACATAGTTTCAGATACAAAAGGCACAAAGGATAAAACTACACAATGGACTTTCACAAAATAAGCTGAATAGAACTCCATGATACTTATCAATTCTCTCAATAAATGTCAATGGATTGACTTCACCACTGAAGAGGCACAGGCTACCTGATTGGATAAAAAAAGCACAAGCTATCCATATGTTGATTCCAGAAAGCACACCTAGCCTTAAAGGACAAATCAAGAGTCAGGGTAAAGGGACGGAAAATAGTACTTCATGCAATTGGAAATCAGAAGAAATTAGGGGTTACAATCTTATTTTCAGATACAAATGGATTTGAAGCAACTAAAGTTAAGAAAGATAAAGATGGACATTTTATACTGGACAAAGGAACAACACAACAAGAAAACATTTCAATTTTAAATATTTATGTACTCAACTTAAATGCTCTAAGATTTATGAAACAGACCTTGATGGGTCCGAGCAATATGATATCCCATAACACCATGATAGCTGGGGACTTTAACACCTCTCTGAGAACTAGACAGATCCTCTAAACAGAAACTAAACAAAGATACAAATGTGACCCTAGAACAAATGGGATTAAAAGACATATGCAAAACACACCATTCCAAAGTCAAAGAATATACATTTTTCTCATCAGTCCCTGGTACATACGCCAAAATCAACCATATCTGAGGATACAAATCAAACCTCAGCAAAATTAAAAGAATAGTTATTATACTTTGTATCTTTTCAGATCACAAGGCAATAATGGTAAAACTCAACTCCAATAAAAATGTTCATTCCCACACAAAGACATGGAAATTAAACAACCTTATGCTGAATGATAGTTTGGTTAAGGAAGAGATAAAAGAGGAAATTGTTAAATTCCTCAAACATCGCAACAATGAAGATACAAGTTACCAAAACCTGTGGGATACAGAAAAAGCAGTTTTAAGAGGAAAATTTATCACATTAGATGCCTACATTAGAAAAATAGGAAGACTGGGCATCAACCAACCCATGAACCATCTTATGGAAATGGAAAAAGAAGAACAATCTAATCCCAGAACCAGCAGAAGAACTGGACAGATCCTCCAAGCAGCAAATGAACAAAGAAACAATGACCTTACATGGGACTATAGAACAAATGGATCACATTTATAAAACTTTCTATGCCCAAAGTACTGACTACATTCTTCTCATCAGGACCTGAAACATTCTCTAAGATTCATCATAGTTTAAGCCACAAAATATTTCTCAACAAATTGAAAAAATAGAATTCATAACTTCTGTCTTGCAGACCACAGTGTAATAAAATAGAAATCAATTCTAACAGAACCACTCTTCTTTATACAAAATCATAGAAATTAAACAACCTACTGCTGAAAAATCAAGGAGAAAAATTAAGATGTAAATAAAAAGATTCTTCCAATAAAATAACGAAGTTGACACAAGTTATCAAAATTTATGGAATTCAGAAAAAGCACTACTGAGAACACTATCATAGGCTTAAATGTCTCCATCAAAAAAACAGAAATCTTCAACATCAACAATTTAATGAATCATCTCAAGGAATTGGTAAAGGGAGAGGAAACCAATCCCAAACCCAACAGAAGAAAAGATGCAACTGAGATCAGAGCAGAAATAAATAAAATCATAACAAAATAATTATACAGAAAATTAATAAAACAAAAAGGTGCTTGTTTGAAAACAAAATCAATACACCTCTCACTAGATTAACCAGTAACAGAAAATAGAAGACCTTATTAAACTCAATCAGAAATAAAAAAAGAAATTTTACAATTGGGAATACAGAAATACAAAATATCATCTCTGAACACTGTAACCATCTTTATACAAATAAATTTGAAAACATTGAGAAAATGGACAAGTTTATGGAAACATAACCACCCTAGGCTTAATCAAGAAGAAATAGAACTCCTGAACAGACCAATATTAAGTAACAAAGTTGAAGCAGCATTACAAAAAATATACATTTCAACCCCAAATAGTCTCAGACTAGATGGTTTCACAGCCAAATTTTACTAGACCAATAAAGAAGAGCTTATACCTCAACTGCAGAAATTATTTTATAAAATCAAGAAGGAAGGAATCCTGATTTCTGATCAATCATATATAGTTTGAAGTAAAATGAAGACACGCAGTGATATCTACCCCAATTGTGTTCAAAACTAAAATTGATTTATAGATGGATAGATGTATATTTAAATGAATAGATGTCTAATAAGCAAGTATACTAAATGTTAATCTAGGTACCAGTTATACTGATATTGACAATAACATTTTTTCAAATGTTCTGTGATGCTTGGAATTTTCCATAATGAAATCCTAGAAACAAATAAGAAAGATAACTTATTATCTTGGAATTTTCCATAATAAAATACCAAAACAAGAAAGATAACGTATTAACATGCCATAATTCTCAACTATAAATGAGTGTTTATCTCTTGCCAACTTAAAATTCA